ACAAACCAATAGAAAATGTTTGCCAGACGTGGAAGACGTGGATCAACAGAAGAACAAACCAATAGAAAATGTTCGCCAGACGTGGAAGACGTGGATCAACAGAAACACAAACCAATAGAAAATGTTCGCCAGACGTGGAAGACGTGGATCAACAGAAGAACAAACCAATAGAAAATGATTGCCAGACGTGGAAGACGTGAATCAACAGAAGAACAAACCAAGAGAAAATGTTCGCCAGACGGGGAAGACGTGGATCAACAGAAACACAAACCAATAGAAAATGTTTGCCAGACGTGGAAGACATGGATCAACAGAAGAACAAACAAATAGAAAATGTTTGCCAGACGTGGAAGACGTGGATAAACAGAAGAACAAACCAATAGAAAATGTTTGCCAGACGTGGAAGACGTCTTCAAGTGGACAATGAAGCAGAATATCTAGAGATTTGTATGGTTGATGAACAATTGATGGTAAATGGAACAAAATGTGATTTTTTTGTAAATAAACAACGAAGTATACATACTAGTTTCCGTAACGTTTACAGAGTTAACCTTGACTGAAATAAAAATTGAGTATACAGGCATTTTGTGTGGTTTTCTTCATTCGTAAACTTGATATTAACCAATAGTTTAAGAAACCAATAAAACTTCAGTAAATTCTGGTGCTAACTGATATCATGAACTTAAACCAGAGTTAAATTAACGGTTTTATGGAATTTCATAAAGAATAAAAGTACTACATTAAATTGCTTGTTTAATTGAGTTTTGTTTTAGTTTTTGTACCAAATTAAAAAACTCGTTATTTCATGCAATGTAAGTTTGTTGAAATGAATGACCTTGACAAATGTTCAAGGTCACAGGGATTAAATATGATAAGAACTTTAAATGACTTCTTCTTAATAACCAAAATGTCTAAGGAAATGATATTTTGCAGTAGCATGCAGGGATTAAGGGCTACTAACTTTGCTCGAATGAATGAACTTCACATATATTCAAGGTCACAGGGGTATATTAATCCTTTAACTACTTTCTTCTGAATAATTTAAGGACCAGGATGACGTATTTGGCTGGTTGCATACTGTATTGAAGGGTTATCAAGTTGTTCAAATGAAAGACCTTCATCCATATTCAAGGTCACAGGGGTCAGTTGTCTTGGAAAAGTTTTAAACAACTTCTTTTGAACAAACCAATGGACCAGGGTGATGATGTGGGGCAGGGATGAAAGGGTACTAAGTTTGTTCAAATGAATGACCTTCACCCATATTCAGTGTCACAGGGGTCAAACATGTTAAAAACTTCAACTCTTTCACCCCTATGTAACTTTTAGTTGACTCTACCATGCATTAATCTGGATGATTCTATTATGATCTACGGTAGTGAAAGAGTTAAACAACTTCTGAATAATTAAAAGGCCTAGGATTCTGATATTTGGACAGTTAGATGCTCAGATAAAAAAAAAAATGTGGCTTGTTCTAATAAATGACCTTAACCCATAATAAGGTCACAGGAGTCAAATGTGTTGAAAACTTTTTAATAGCTTCTTGTGAATAACCAAAAAGCATAGGGTGGCGACATTTAGCCAGTACCATGCTCAGAATGACTTTGACCCACTTTCAAGGTCACATATGTTGTAAACGAACGACAAACTAGAGGATAGATTATGTGTTAAAAGTTCCATAAATATCAGTCAAGAATGGAGGTAGAAGTACTTTGGCCAAATTCATAAATCAATCAGAAAAAGGCCATATAACTTGTACTGTATAGAAATGGAAATAAAAAATAAAGTCACACGCCTATTACCATGTAGGGTACTGATGATATTAGTACCAAGTTTCATTAATATCGGCCAAGAGTGTAAGTTATCATGAATAATTCAGACAGAATGTATTATGGATATCAGTAAAGGGGCATAACTCTCACGAAATGACGGGATCAAAATATTAATCATTGTATGACCACATCACAGTGCGTTGCGTCCATCAGCACAGTTTCATCAAATTTAGAAAGAAACTATACAAGATGTTGTTCTTGGCTAACTTTTATAAACAGGGGCATCTCTCCCATAAAAATTGCCAGATTGTAATATATTAATTGCATTTAATTAAATTAATTACACTTCGAGTGTGTAGAAGATTTACCTTTCATTACAAATTGAAAAGAAAGAAATTCATATTAACGGTCTGGAACAAATTAGAAATTACTGAACATGTAAGATTTGTTTGAAATCACAACCAGACTGGCTTACCCAAAGTGCGGACCTCGATCACGGAGGAATTTCCTAATCCAATTTTGTTGGACACATTCAGTCTGATGGTGTAATCTGTAGAAGAAGTGAGATTGCCAAGTGTATGAGCCATCAGCTTCCCCTGGCCTTCATCCTCAATATCCAATTTATATGGTGACCATTCATTTCCAGTCGTCCGGGTCTCTATGTGGAATAGTTGGGCATTTCCGCCGTTAAACCCTGATATCCACATGACTTTGATGACGTCATAACTTACGTCTGCCGCCCGAAAGTCACTCGGTGTGTCAGGTACGTCTGTAATGTAAAGGTAGTGTATATGTTAGAAATGGGAAGGTGGTCACATGAGTTTTATTACAGGTGAAAACAAAATAATATACTCATTTGATATCTAATTGTAACATAGATTTCTGTTTTCCATTTTGATCAGGGTTTTGAAATCTTCTTGGAGTGTACAAGATAATTTGAAGATGGGAAAGAGATAGATACAGTCAAACCTGCTCATTTTCTAACCTCCATTACGAAACCACCTCCATTAAGAGAACACATCCATTAAGAGAACACCTCAATTTAGAGACCATCTGTATTGAGAAACCACCTGTATTAACAGGCCATCTCCATTAAGAGGCCAACTCCATTAAGAGACTATCTCCATTAAGAGGCCAACTCCATTAAGAGACTATCTCCATTAAGAGACCACCTGTATTAAGAAAATGCCTTCATTAAGAGGCCACCTCCATTAAGAGATCACCTCAATTAAGAGACCACCCAATAAAGAGGTGACCTTCATTAAGAGGTTACCTCCATTAAAGGACAATCATTATTAGACCACCTGTATTAAGAGGCCAATGTCATTTGGAGACAACTTTCAGTCAGAGACCACCCCCAGTGAGAGACTTCCATTATGAGATCACCTCCATTTAGAGGCCGTCATTAAAAAGAGACCACCTGTACTAAGAGGCCAACTT